GTTTAAATATTTAATTTATTTTTATTTTTAATGACATATGACTTTTTATATTCATAATGAACATATAAACTAAACATTGAAAAGCAGTAGTCAATTTATAAAATACACAGCGTTTCTTGGAATCAGAAGAAATTGATATTTTTCCAAATCTTTTAGAACTGATATGATTCTGAGAACCAAAGCGCTTGCATCCGTCTGAAACCATTTGGCTTGTCATTTCCCATTCGTATATTAAAAACCGATTTTTTCCAAAAAAGCCGGTTTTTGAATTCTGTGATTTTCGACAAAAAACGGTTTTTGAAAACCGAAAAACCCTATAAGGAACCCCTAGTAATGTAAAAAAATGTACTTATTATTTTAAAAATTGTTGCACGTATGTCTAACGATTATTTTTTACCGCCAAATGCCTTTTTTTATTTTTTTTAATACGTCCGAAACCGCTAGATCTGCCTTCCCAAGAATTTGATCGGTTATAAGTAACATGTTTCATGAATTATTTGGATCGGTCGCTACATTCTCCCAAAAAGTGGATTACCATTTTAGGCACTTTTTGCCCCGTGTCTTCGAAACGGGTGGACCGGCCTTTGCCAATAACTAATCAGCACCTCTACTCATTAATAGGAATCAAATATTTTTTGAATCATTCAAATGATTCTTAATTCGTGTGTTCTCGAAATTGTCGGTGAAAAATTCTATCCACCCATACATACACACGCACACATACATCATTTTTTCTAAGGTATGCAATTCTTATTAATTTTTGGAAAAGGTAGGTCCAGCCGTTTCTGAGATACTAAACAAAGAGTAAAAAAATGGAAATTATGTTTGAGTGAAGAGAGCATCCGATTTAAAGAAATCAAAAAACATTTGAACCAAAATTTGAATTGAACAGCCGTTAAAACGAACAGGTTGGCTGAAAGTTCTATCAATTTTATTTCACATTTTAATCTTCCTACTCAATTAAAAACAACCTTAATAATAACGACCATTGCATAAGGTCATTTTTGACTCAATATGAACCAATTCAATGTGTGCAAAACTGATCAAGCAAATTAAATTTGCAAAAGTATAATCTCATAAACATCCTCCGTGGAGACTGTAAATGAAATTTTGTATTTTAAATAATGCTCTAATTGACATATAAAGATTAAATATGGGGTCAAGATACTGTAAACATGAACATGTTCCAGGTTTCAAGTAAAATTGAGGTATCAACTTCAAAATAAAAACTAATACATAACCTTCCTGTTTATCCATTTATTTATCCATATATTAATATTAAGCAGAGTGCTGTTATAATATGCGGTATGTTCCTTATTAAATATAGTATATACTTAAGTATACCTGTACATAACTATAAATTATACTATACTATATACATATATGTACGTATAATATATATGCATATGTGTACACATATGTATACATACATATATATATGTATATGCTCAAACAGACCAGACCAAACCAACACATGCAGACACACATACACTGTTTTATTGATGTAACACACAATTGTTTATATATATATATATATATATATATATATATATATATATATATATATATATATATATAGTATGTATGTGTGTGTGTGTGTACACATTCATACATCATATATTCACACACACACACACACATATATATATATATATATATATATATATATATATATATATATATATATAAATTAGGCTCTTATTTATACTGAAAACGAATTGTAGCAAAATACAAAATTTTAACAAAAGTAAAGACAATTTTTCTATATTATATACACAATGATAATATTTAAATAAAAACTTCAGTAATTTTGATTACCAAGTGTAATCACTTTGATAATCAAACAATATTCAAATATGAAAAGTACAAGTATGGCAATATAAAGTCTTATTTCAAACGTGTTGCTTCATTTATACAGAAAACAAATAATTCCATCTAATCTTTATTAATTATGACTGAAACTCCATAGGTACCATAAATAGTTAACATGAATTAATATCTGAGCAGATATCGATAGTGATCTATTTATCACTTGACATGGATAGTTGTACTGTCAATTTGTGGTATAAACAGTTATTATTATAAACTAAATGTCATGCGGCTCAAAACAGTGCATACACATTATATATATATATATATATATATATATATATATAAATATAAATATATATAAACTTGCACTCAATATATAAAAACACACAGATCAATCATGTGAATACATATTTCAATGTTGAACAATGTCTTAAGAAAGTTGGTTTAGGATACCATCCTGACACTTTCATGTTCAATTTCCTAAATCTACATTCTTCAAGATATCATAGTTATTTAAATAATATTCCCAACTAATCGTCAATTATTTTCAATTGAACATGGTACAATAATAATCATGAATCACAAAATAATTTCAATTTTGTAAAATATATTTTTCTTTACAAAATTTACTGATTTCTATCAAATATCCTTCTGAAAACTTTTATAAATTTTTTCAATCACCCTTTAATATGCTGCATTCAACACATGCACACACAGACACACAGAAATATTAAATTATTTATTTGCATGTGTGTGTATATATATATATATATATATATATAATATTTATATATAAATGTTTTATTCATTCAAGTATAAGCACTAAAAATTGAGAATTATATGTTCAATTGTAAATTTTTAACTAAAATCTTTAATTTACCAACTTCTTACAAATTACACAAAGTATGTGCCACAAGGCATTGCCAGTCAAAGAGGCCATCGGTATAATATAAAAGTTTTAATGTTAGAACAATTAACCATCATAATAGAGCTGCCTCGAAAAAAAGTTATTCCACATGTAAAATAACATTTGTTAAGTTAAATTCATTTTAGCATCTTAACTGACAAAGCTTATGAAAACAAAGCGACAATTTGTAAATTATTGGTACAAAAGAATATTATATACAACAATGTTAAATATAGTAGCATACCCTTCAAGACCATTTAAAACAGTAAGAAAAAAAATCATTTATAAAAATCAATAAAGTTAAAACAAATTTTAAATGTTGCAACTGTAGTTATTGAGAACATTGATATGAGCGCCAGTGTTCGGAGCTAGAAAATTTGTATTCAGATGAAATGGTTAATTTAAAGATTTTTGTTTTTAAATGGCTTACAGAAGTATGGGCAACCACAGATATTATGAACAATTATTCACAAATAACAAAATATAAATTTTAGTGAATCATATAAAAATAATTATACTATAATGGCATTTTTAAATAATTTACAAAATATATGGACTTATTATAGGTACTTTAATTTTACCTTACCTTACATACATTTCCTTGCAATAGAAATTAGTTATTTCTATATTTTAGAGTTATTACATTCATCATTTTCAATCTCTAAAGCTTGTTCAAATCAATTACATATTTAGGTAACACCAAACTTTGTTCAGATCATTTAGATAACACATTTACATATAACACTATCTATTTCTTTTTTTCAGTTACAAATGTTCATAACTGTGATCCTTGTTTAAATTTAACACTTATCAGTTTGAATAAATGATTCAAATTAGTTTAGTTTATGATAATAAATAATAAGATAAATGCAAACGTATGTCACAATATTTTTTCGTGTTTCATTAAATCAAATCAGTCAACTACAAATCATTACTCAAATTTGAGATAAATTTTGAGTCACAGTTTCATATACAATAGATTTACATGCATATGAATTTTGTTAATACTGCTAATCAATAGCTTTGCTCTAATACTCCATTGTATTCTATTTCTATATATACCACATACTGACACATTATCTTGGTCCATTTCAATCTTCAAAAATATGTGATTACGCGATAAACATATGAACCAAAATCAATTGAAAATAATTAACCCTAAACATTTTGTTAAAATGATATATATATATATATATATATATATATATATATATGAAATATTTTGCAGCCCAATGGTCAAATTAAAAAAAAGGATTAATATAGAAAACTTTTTTATTCCATTAAACGTTTCGACACTTAATGTGTGTCATCATTCAATAATCTAAAAAACATCTTACAATAAATAACAAAATTGATATTAAATATAAAATTATAAAAAGGACAAAAATATATACATACCAAACCAGGAAAAACACAAAAAAAAATAATAAAAACGTCTAGAAAAAAACAAAAATAAAAATTTGTGTTTTTCTTGGTTTGGTATGTATATAATTTTCTCCTTTTTACAATTTGATATTTAATATCAATTTTGTTTAATGGAATAAAAAAGTTTTCTATTTTAATCCTTTTTTTAATTTGACGATTGGGCTGCAAAATACTTCAAATATGTATCAACGCCGATAAAACTATCATCATCATATATATATATATATATATATATATATATATATATATATATATATACATATGTATGTACATATATATAGGTAGGGTCAACTGAGTAAATAGGGGCACTAGACATTTGCAGTATATGGGTCCTGCAATAATATATTTTATTATTATATACCAAATTCCACCAATAACTCTTATTAAAATAATAAAATAAAACTATAATTATTAAATATCCCTATCAATTATTTACATAATTTTGTCAAAATAAATTGTTCTTAAAAAATAATTTGAACGTTAGCAATCATTATTTAATACAAATTAGTTTCAACTTCAAATAATGTTGAAAATAATGCATTGGATTATCCGGATTTTGGATTATCCGGATGCCTATCGACAACAATTAGTCCGGTTAATCAAGGTTCTACTGTATATTTATTTATTCATTTATTTATTTGTGTGTATTTATAGAACTGAAAATTATCACTAGTTAAGAAAAGTAGAACATATAAAAAATCCTTTCATGCGTCTCCAAAATGAATAACTTCACAGCTCTAAATGGGCCAAAAAACTTTTCATTTCACAGTCTGCAAAACTATGAATTGTAATAGTAAAATTCAATTACAGGACCCCATAAACTGCAGGTGCCCAATTGGGCATACTATATGCATATATATATATATATATATATATATATATATATATATATATGTGTGTGTGTATATACTTGAATATTGCTTACATACAATGTTAATTACTAGGCCATAAAATAATATTTACTAATGCTACACCACTACAACCACTCTCCATTATCACAAATACCCAATTTAAAACTAAACTGAATAGTTTTATCATTTATAATTCCACAAATTGGTTATCAAGTATTTATCAAATATTATTGAAAACAAATCTTCCGTTTTTATCAGACTTAAACACAATCAACTGCTTTAACATCAAGTGCAGTAGCCCTGTGACACTTTATGAAATAAAGATAATGTAAATTTACTGCCATATACCCTATTATCTATTCACCTTAAACTTACAAAAAAGTATATAAACACACTAATATGAGGAAGTAAAAACCAACATTGCACAGAAATCTTGATAGCACCTGAGACGGCAGCATCATTATATGTTAATTCTTCATTTTTCACAACTTCATTAGGATGTTTTTGTGATTCTAGTGTATTGCCTTTCTTTGCAGGCAACAGCGCTGGAGCAACAGCTACAGTTGCCTTATTTGGAAGGGCTGTTGTGTGACTTACAGGACCCCAAACACGTGTTACTGCATTCACTTCTTGTATAGTCCGCAATGGAGTGCTATGATTTATAACTGATGAGGGCAGCATTGCAACAACCCCATTTGGCAAAATGGTTGGAGATTCAGCTGAAATTGGCGTGGCACTTGTAGAACAACAAACTTTGAAAACCATCTTCATATTGTGAGATGAACACCGCCCACCTATTCGCCGATGCAAATCATCTTTGGATGAAGTAGAAATGAAATAATAATCATTACCAGCTAGAAATTCCAAACCACCTGGTTGTGGTGTAAATGGACGAAAGGTTATAGTAAAGTACATCAATTTGTGTGGCTTATCACAGATTGCTATTATTCGAGGATTTGGGTTTGTAATGCGACAAGTGTCATACTCCTCCTTCGATACATTATATATTATGTACTTTTCAGCATCTTCGTCATGCTCTCCTGGAGAGTACAGTGGGCAGATAATATTAACCTGATCATACTCAAAATTTATATTTCCCTTATTAACGTCAATTATGTGATCAGTGTTATCAATTCTGAAGATACTATTCGTTGTGTTCCAGTGTACATAAAACGTTTTAGCACAGTTTGAAACGGTGGAAAGAAGGACTGTCTCTAAACATACTAAAAAAATCACTGTCAAGCAAGATGTTAATTTTTTCGGCATAGCCACACTGCATTTCATGGCACTCATTGCTGCGAGCGCACTCGCCATACCTTTTCGTTAATAATTCACATCTTTCAAACCAATACTAAATATACATCAAATTGGAAAAAAGCAATCGCTTCGTAAAAATAATCGAATTTGTAAAACATATTTTAATTCAGCACTTTTTTAAATCACATTAAATATACACTATAACTTTTGTTTAACTAAAATTAATATAGTAAACAATTTATAATAAAAACGTCGATTTTTCAATACCCCTTTTCCATCAATTCACGTCATAATACTTTTTGAAAGAAAGAGCATTTTCCAAAACTGTAATGTTCCTTCAACAATTTACTTCAGCTTAGCTTTATTAATTAAATATCGTTGTGATATGCACTGACAGGAAATTTGTCCAATCAAGTGTCAATATACGAAACGCTTACGGACGACCATTAGTTAAATAATGTAAAAACACAATGGAGGAACGCTAAAGGTTGAATGCAATATGACAACCCTGCTCACTCTAAATCGCTGAACAAACCACTTCAAGAAAATAAATTCTGTTGCAATTAAATGAGAACACCCCACTGTAAAACATATTTTAATCCTCCAGTTAATTTAAGTACAATTGTACTTTAGCTATCTTATTTTATTCATGCACGAAAACAAATATGTACGATAGATCTGAGAAGTTTTAGTGTGCTTACAATATTGTTACACCTGGAAAAGTCTTATGTTGATTTGTTTATTGAATGAATGTTAACACACCTGATGTAGACAACCGCCATTTTTAAAATACATTTTATTTCAAATATATATAATGTTACGAAAATAAAATTGTCGATATTGAACACATTTTACACATTAACTTGAAATTCACTTTTATTACATAAAATATTCAGAATTGCATGAATGTTCGTAGAAAACTAGCAAATGAGTTGAAAGATGATTCATAAACTTTTACATTTTAGAGATTACATTTGAAGATACTGCCGGCTCGACAGCAGACTGCTCTGTTTTATGTATTAATATTCTAAATTAATCTAAAAATGCTCAGTTAAGCATAGTTGCACAGAACAAGGATTGTTCACATGCATAATAATGCTGAATTAACTAGATGCATTTGTATGAGTAAATTTTGCGATGTACTGGGAACGAAATATAATATTGCCATGAAGTTTAATAATCTTGCGACAGAATGTACTAGAATTTATTGATGTTCAACGTAATATTAAATTAATTATTAAATTATAGCAGGAATGCACAATATATATATATATATATATATATATATATATATTAAGAAAAATACATGTAAATAAACAAGTATATATTATATAATTTTTTTATTTAGAAATAGTGATAATTTTCTTAAAGAATACAAAAAAACAAAATTTAATGTACAAGCGTAAATATCTTTAATCATTATATAAAAAACGTGTTTTTGTTGAATATCAACTAAATTTTGAATTCTAAGACACAATAAAAAAAAATGTTTCTATGCGTTTTGTTTACTTTCAAAAACTTACAACCATTTTGAATATTTCCAAGTCTTAATATCAAACAAAACATGCATGTCAATATGTCATACTTTTGCTTTATCATTGTTATTAATTAGTACTGTCTTTTAGCTAATATATTTGAAAAGCCAAAAATTTTAAATGAAGATTATTTTGAAGAAGAAATTGTTTTGTTTCACTTATTAATTGCTTGCTGACAAATATTAATTTATAATATATTTCTACTTGAGAAAAACTTACGTATTAAAAATTACAAGTTGTATGCTTATATATACACAATATATATATATATATATATATATATATATATATATGTATGTATGTTATTTATATATGTAATGTATAAACACTTGTGCAAACACAGAGATCGTAGTATGCATCCACACATATAAGCATTTCAGTGTACAAATCAATTTAAGTCTATGAATAAAAACATTCAAACAACATAGCAAATTCTGAATAATAAGATTATGTTTAATAAAGTAACAATCATGGTAATATCTTTGACACAACGACTGTGTGTGTACTAACAATAAGCAAAATAGTTCTATTTTTTTTAAACTAATGTAAATGGTATTATTAAGCTAAACGTAGAAAGTAAAATCGTTTATTACCAAATATAAAAAGTATAAGCCATTTAATCTAATCAATGTAATTTTACAATCTGTGATTGTTGATTAATAAAATAATATTACAAAATGCTACACTTCATCTTAAAAAATCATAAAATGAATGGAAAAAGCTTAAGGAAATCTGTAACAGACAGAGTATTGCTATTTGAAAAATGCTGTCCTAAAGGAAAAACTATGATAAGGTAATAAAAAAGAGTTAAATATTATAATAATTAAAATATACTAAAAAATTGAGTTTTGAGTCTTTACTTACAAATTAAACAATTACATTATAAATATAAAATACTAAAACACTATAATGATAACAATATACTACAAAATTGATTTTCAATATATATATATATATATATATATATATATATATATACATTTTTATGTTTAAATTACCAATCCGAAATAAAATAACATTCTCAATTATTTTAGTTACACTTAAAATATATGCGATTATACTTTATGTGATACATATTTTCATTTATATAACAATAATAATTAAATGATGTAACACAATTTTTTATCACGTATTTATCATAACTTTTCGTTGAACGTAGTTAATTGATTTGTGCACTGAATGGTTTAACCCAAGCACACATATGCTCTTCATATACATACACACACACCATATATATATATATATATATATATATATATATATATATATATATATATATATATGTATGCGTTCAATTCTCTTTTTACATAAATTTGATTTAATATCTATTATAATTCATAAGCAAGCCGTAATTAATATTATTTCTGGCTCTTGTCAAATACAAGTTAAAAATTTAAAAAAATCTTTTTACACGAATTGATTTGTTTTAACATGATTTTTAATATTCGGGGATTGTTTCAGAGTCTTATAGATCAAATACAGCGAGAGAAAACGTTTAAACTATCTTCAGAAAAAGTTACTGAAACTGGTTCACTGAAACGTTTAAACTATCTTCAGAAAACGATCAAGTCTTTTTATTTGGGATCTTAGTCAGCATGGGTTCTTAATTATGCATAGTGTAAATATGTTATGGATATTTGAATCTGAGACTTAAAGAAGAAATATGTTCATACTAAATATTAACACCATAAAAATGAATCTAAAACTTATTAACTCAATAATAGGTATATCTTAAAAAAAATTTAATCCTTTGCGTCATCAATATGGGAGATATAATAATCTTAACCAAAAGTCACATAATCAACCTGCAATAGAAGCTAAGAGAGAAAAACAATCAGTTTAGATACATTAATTAAAATTTTATATAAACTCGCTTCAAAAGAAAGTGCAACAGCTGCAAGAAGGTATGCTGGTATAACAGAAACAACCAGAATGATGATCAAGAAAATCATCCAAAACATAGTCTTACACAAAGACCAAATGAAAAAAGTTTAAGTTGTGCCAATTGAAAAAAATCGGAAAAAGGAATATCAGCAGGTAGAGTTGCTACCAAGCAAGCTGTATTGAGACTTTATTAATAACTTGAAAAAGTTGATGTCAAAACAACTTGCATGTGCCGCAACTACAGTTTGAATGACTGATTCTTTAGAACTTGCTCTCCATAATATATACATACATTAAGATACTGAGCAACAGAGAATTGGCTGCCAAAGGTTACTGAAAAAAAATGGTTGAAAATGGGGATTACACCAACGATCAATTGAAATTGTTTTGGTTCAATGCTAAAAGAGAATGCAACTTAAAACCGATAGTAAACATTTAAAAAAGAAGCTTGGATTATGAAACAATATACATCCCATAAGCTATACTAAATGAATGCAAAATTAAAATTCTTTTAATACAGTGCATCCCAGTCATCCAGTCTTGAAGCAATTTTGCACTCATTCTCCCAATACTTTAACACACCCGCTAGACCAGAAAATCAATAAAAATTCTAAATTATTAACACAGGAGACTAGAGATAAAAATTCAGAAATATTTTCATAAAATGATAAACAAAAGAACTCTGGCGAGGGTACAGTTATACCTGGTTTTACGTACTGATTTGCGTTTATTGTCAGAAATTAACAATGCATAATTTTTTTTATGTCTATATTAAAAGAATTTCAGATATTATTTCCTTCTTCCCAAAGTATAATATTATTTTTAATAATATAATGAATTAAAATGTATAAACATGATATAAGTTAAGAAAACAAGTTTTTTTTAATATTGTTTACAGCTAATTCTCTTTTTACAAATTTAATTTAATATGATTTGTTTGGGAACGCGTTCATTATGTAAAAAGAGAATTAGTATATATATATATATATATATATATATATATATATATATATATACACACCTATGCATACATACTAATATTTGGTAGGCAAGAAACTGTTTTCGGTTCTCCCGCATATAAATAGCCTTATGTCCTTTTAATTTTTTTTTCCTTTTGGCATTTGTTATCCGTTACATTTTGGTTTGGTCACAAGCAAATCGTGTGTGATTTCCTTTGTAGTTGTTAGTTTAAAATCTACATAATGAAGTGCAAAAGCTAACATTTTCGGCGTATTACTTTTTCTGTAAATGAAAGAAATCTGATGAGATTCATAAAGAGATATGAAAAATTTATAGCAATATTTGCTAACAGGTGGTGCATGTGGTTTAAAAGCTCATTTCCGATAAAACAAAGGAAACCAATATTCTGATTAACCACCTGAACTTGATGAACGAATAATAGCCATATATAAAAAGGATGATCATAAAATTATTTGTGCGAATGTAGAGAGAATAAATATATCTCACACATTTGAAAATGACTTAAGACACTTTAAGAAGTCCAATTTTTGAACACACAAACTAAACACATATAAATCAATATATTATTAAAATTCACCATTGCCTAAAGTGAATCATCACTGGAGATAAAAAATGTATTGTAAAGTAATTCGAAAATAATCCAAATGTAATAAACCAATCAGATTCAAATTTCAATTGGATCAAAGAAAACAAAGATTATTTTTGAGTTACTTTCAAGGTAGAATATCAGAATTAAAAAATTAGTTATGTTGCAGGACTTCCACATTTCTTTGGTAACAGAAATTTTTTGAAGCTTGGTTTGGCAGTCCTGACAACCTGGTAAAAATCCCACTATGACTTGAAACCACACTTGTTTGTTTTTTGAGAGCATGAAG